AAAGATTCTAAAAAGGCAACTATTTTTTTAGATTTCCTATACCTTTCACACAAAGCTTTAGGTAAACGAAAAAAACGTGAAAAGGGCTTGTCCATTTTTATTATCGCCAGTTCTCGTAATTTAAAATTGCTCCCGTTCGAGTTGATGTTAAAGGGCTGGAGGAAGATGGGCCGGCGTCCGTCGGGGTGACGGACCGCCGCGGCGCTACCATCGACGCTTTCCCACGCGTAAGCGCCCCCAAACCCCTCTCGCGTTTGAAGAAACCAGTTTAGTGGCTATAACTTTTTCATTTAGCAATGTTTTCAACTAAAAATTTCCTGAGACCAAGGACTTAGTGATACCCATCGATGGTAAAAATTTGGGCCGGATTGGATAAAAGGTGGTCAAGTTCTGAGCCATACGGGGTTTTGGGACGCTGTTTTGGCTGAAAAAGTGGCACTTCCTAAAGGTCCGCTTTTAGAGATAGTGTTTTAAAGCATGTGGGCAGTGAAGCCTTTTTATAATTTCATAATTCCGAGTTGCTACGCGCGACTCGAATGTTTGGAATTTTTGAAATATCTATCTTTATCCATCACCCATCCATAATGCCTCTTAATTCTACTAGCTCACCGATCAGAATTTCCACAGTTCAACAGCTCAAAATGACACTCTAGGCATCTTCTTGATCTCTTATCACCTTTTCACCCCCTTCTGGGGGCCAAGTGATCTCCGAATTCGCCCGAATTAGCCCTCTACTCGCTCTCCGGTATCTGTGCTCAAAATTGGCCGCCAAAAAAATGGGCAGACGCCGGCCATCCAGCCGACCAGAAACAGACCATTCCCATGGAAACTCGGCGATCTTTGTTTCGAAATAATTACTTTACCTCGCCCGTTGCTCACCGTAATTAGTAGTCACCTGGAATTTTTGCATCAAAGTTCGAGTTTCATTTACGAAAGAATTTCTTAGAGTCATTTTTTAAGGGCTTAAAGGCGCCTGGACAGCAGGAAATGCCCAGTTTCTAATTGTGCTTAAGTTTGCGGTGCAGCCGCAAATCGCGAGAAATCATACCCGAGTTTCCTTAATAATTCTGAACCATTAGAGCGGCCGGAAAAAGCTTTAAACCTTAAATTATTTTTTCCCCTTTGTTTGCTCTGAAAATTTTATATTTAAATACCGTGATAATCCTACAGTTTTTAGTATGATTGGCCTTCTATTATTCCTGTTAGCCGGCGGCTTCATCTTCCGTGAAATGTATTGGAAACGGCGGAAATTGCCGCCAGGGCCGATGCCGTTGCCCTTCATTGGAAATATGCATACTGTATTCAAGCACGAGCCGGGATACGATGCGTATATTAATTGGAAGAAGCAGTATGGGCCGGTTTATACATATTGGTTAGGTACGTTACGCTACCGCTTACGGTTCCCCCCTCATGGGCTCTGATATCGATAAAAAATTAACGGATAGAGGGAGGGGGAGAGGGAGAGAGAGAGAGTGACTACTTTCAGGCCCGTATGCCAACGTAGTTATTGCCGATTACGAGACGATGAAAGAAACGATAGTACGAGATGGAGATAAATATGCTAATCGCTTCCACAGTGAGACCATGATTGAATATCGTGGTAAATACTTTTTAGGAGAGAGCGAGAGAGTGAATGAGAGAGAGAGCGAGTGAGAGAGACGACAGAGCATGACAAATTTTAGACGGTATCTACGGTGTCGTCGAAGCAGACGGCGATCTTTGGAAGGAGCAACGGAAATTCGCGCTCCACACCCTTCGCGATTTCGGGATGGGCAAGAATTTGATGGAGCAGAAGGTGAGAGAATCGAAATTTACCACTAAAACTTAGAAAAAAACCTCTTGTACTTCAAATTCCAAATTTCCTCGAATTTCGATCATTTTAGCTCAATGTGAGATCCGTTAAACAACTGCTTAGAGCCCCCAATACCACCAGTTTTCAGGTAATGACGGAAGTGACCCATCTACTCGATCGAATCTCAAACCAAAGCGGAATCGCCGCCCAGTGGGAATTCGATGTTGCAGTGGGGTCCATTATCAACAGCCTACTTTTCGGGTATCGATATGAGGAGGTAATTTGGCTAAAGGAACCTTAAAAACCGATTAATCTCAGGAAAATCTTGCGGAGTTCAAGGAGCTCAAAGGCCTTCTGGGAGACCATATGAAAATTGTAGCCTCGCCAACAGGAGGGCTTGTATTAATGTTGCCATGGACGAGACCGTTGCCGTATTTTAAGGGTAAGAAACGAGAGAGAGCGAGAGAGAGCGAGAGCGAGAGAGAGAGAGAAAGGGAGATTGAGAGAGAGCGAGAGAGAAAGAGAGAGAAGAGATAGCCTTAAATCTCGAAATAAGGCGATTTTCTAGAAGCCCACGCCAAAATTCTCTACATCCGTGACCGAATCCTGAACTGTTTCCGGCGTCAGCTAGCTGATCGCAGGCTTCCAATCGAAACGGAATTTGACACTGTAACTAATTATCCATTTTTGTATATTTTAGCTTTTTTAGCCAAGTGTGGATTTTGTGGAAGCATACTTGAAGGAGCAACAAAAGAAGAAGGATGAGCCGGATTTTGGAGGCTTCAGGTTCGAAAGCTTACCCTGGCCTTGAAAAATATAATATTTTTCTAGCATGAAACAGCTGGAAAATGTCATTTTTGATTTGTGGATTGCTGGTAGGTCGGGGGAAAGAAAGAGAGCGAGAGAGAGAGAAAGAGAGAGAGAGAGAGAGAGGGGAGAGAAAGCGAGAGAGTTGTTTTTTTATGTGTTTTCGATTCCAGGAATGGAAACAACATCAAATACCCTCACCTGGGGGCTGGCCTTCATCTTGAACGACGACGACGTGCAACGGAAAATTCATGAAGAACTCGATTCGGCCCTAAAATCCGATCGTCTCGTCACGCTGGCCGATAAGCCAAATCTGAATTATATCAACGCGACGATTTGTGTGAGTTTCAAGAAAACTGTCTAAAAAATTCAACAGAATTGGCAAAAATGCGCGTTTTAAAACAAAGAATATGATGAAAACTATCGCCAAACTGTGTAGAAAAATTTAAGCGCATCTAAATTATACCTAACCCACCGGCCATGAAATAAACTGCGCGAAAAACACGCATTTTAGGAAATCCAACGGCTCGCTAACCTGCTTCCGATGAATCTCATTCACCAGACGACGGAGGATGTCACCATCAATGGCCACTTTTTAGAGGCAGGCACCAATGTCATCCCGCAGATCTCGTGTGTGCTTTTTGATGAGAAGGTAGGAGAATACCTAGATAATAATAGATTAGATTTACCTCTATCTAGCCAAAAACAACTTTTTATAATTCTAGATAACACATTATATGGGCCTGAGGAAAAAGTCGAATAGGCAAAATTCATACCCTTCAGATCTTCCCCGAACCACAATCCTTCAAACCGGAAAGATTCCTGAATCCCGATGGCTCGCTGCGAAAAGTCGAAGAATTGATCCCGTTCTCCCTCGGCAAGCGCCAATGCCTGGGCGAGGGGCTGGCCAGGATGGAGCTCTTCCTCTTTGTCGCCAACATTTTCCAAAAGTTCAAGGTAACTAAAATGGCGACTAAGATGTTTCTGCATCTGTAACCGCTATAAAAACTAGCCAGAACTTTTTCTAGCCCTTTCTAACATGCCTAAATGTATTTTGGAGCTGCTACGGAAAGGCGAAAAGACGAGATTAGGAGACAAAGCCATGAAAAAAAGTGCCAAAAAGGGCTAGAAAATAGCAAAAGCCCTTTTAGCTGCTCAAATCTACGCTAAAAGTAATTTTTAACTTTTCTAAACTATTAAAAGGACCCAAAAAGGCATAGAAAAGACGGGTCACCAACTAAAAAGTAACGTTTAGGACAGAATAACCTCTTAGAAACTCAACTTTTATACCAATGCAATGTAATTTATTAAGGCTAAAACAAAACAACAATAAAAGCCAATCAAAACTCTGCAGGTCACCTCCCCCACCCGACCATCGCTGAAGAAATCCTTCGGTTTCACTGTACAAACGGCGCCCTACACGTGCAATTTCGCGGAAAGGTTTTGAGCGAACACTTTTAACCTATTATCGATTGCTTAATTTATTTGTGTCCATGTCCCGTATTCAATAAAACAAGTTAAAAATCAGAGGATAAAGTCCCAGAGAGCGCAGGGCTGTCGGTGCTCTGGGCGCTCTCCATCCCGTCCCCACTCGACCCCCTCCTGGTCCTCATCGTGGACACAAGAGCCGCCCCTTTCCGTCCATCATCGGTTCAGCTCTTCGGAGCATGCGCTTCGGTGTGCGGAGGTCCCTTGTGGGCCTCGTAACCTTAATTTTTTGGACAGCCATCCCGGGGTTAACCGGGAAGGCGGCAAGTGTGTTTACGGCGGAATTTATATCCTTAAATGGGGATTTATTGCGCTTGATGTAGGCTTTACAACGACACTAATTTTCCAAAACCTTTACCTTACGTTTTCTCACTAACCACGCTAGTTTTAGAAATTAAAGTAGCTTCTTGTTAAAATATGCGTTTCTTTTTCTAGCGATAACTACAGCGTTTAAGAAAAAACAATAATATTTTTTGCAAACAAAGAATACTAATTTTCCCTGCTACCACAAAAAAACTTTAGCAAATCCCAACGGGTTTGTACGCGCAATTCGGCGCTAGGCATTTTACGTCGTCACAACGTTTGTTTTTAGACCAAAATATTCAATCAGAAAATTTTTACTTTAATGGCTTTTTACCGGCCTTGCCTGAAATTCGCACTTTTTCGCTAGCCTTTTTGACTTTTTTGTCGCGAAAAAATCGTTTGAGAAACGAGAAGAAATTTTGTATACTTTACACCCTCGCAACTCGCACAACCCGTAGCCCACAAAACTTTATTCAGCGCAAAAAGCCGGCCCTGCAATGGCCCAGACACGAAACGGGTGGTGTCATCATCATGTCAGTGGGTCAAAGAAAGGGGGCATACACAAAAAATGGGGCGAAATACGCGCTAGCGGGGGATCGATCGTTCTTCAGTAGTTGGTCAGCCGGTAGACGATACCGCCCGGGTGGCGGCGGATGATGCACTTGCGCACCTCGTCGTACATGTAGATGAGTACGGCGAACGGGAGGCCGACCATCGTCGTCGTCATGCTAGAAAATAAAAATTTAGGTCCGGAATAGAGACCAATTTTACCGGAGCGGCGTCTGGGCGAGAATGTTGTAGAGGCCGGGGGTGTAGAGGAAGATGCACGAGAGGACGACCGTAGATATCATGCCCGTGTTCATCACCATGTTGCTGAAATAAACGTGTTGAAGACGTCGTGGGCAGCTAGACTCACTTCATTCCCTGGGTGACCATCGAGTTCTTGCGAGTCTTGGAGATGAACAGGTCGCCCCACTGCACCATCACCATCGACAGGAAGAAGCCCGAGTGGCACGAGCGGAGCAGCTGGCGGCGCGACTCGTAGCACTGCAAAAAAAATATATACCATTTTTTATTAAGCCTACCCATTCCTGGCCAAACGAGTCGGCCACCGTGTCGAGGTCCTTGTTGTCCCACTGTTCGCGCAGGCCCCACAGGTCCCACGGCATGAACCCGTTTTGCATCATGATGACTAAAGTAGAATTCGTTTCGCAAAAATGAAAAACTCTTACAAAAGTAGGTGCAAAAGCCGGCAGTCGCTTGCATGACGCCAATGTGCATGTAGGAGAAGAGGATCAGGCTGAAAAATCGGTAAGTCAATTTAATCAAATTTTATAAATATTTTATATAGGAGAAGGTATCAATTTCCCCCGACCTTATATAATTTTGGATGACTAAATCTTGATTTAATGAACCCCCAAAAAAGTGTTATACCGGGCATTGACGAGCTTGTCAATCTTGGCGTCACGCGGCGGGCGCTCCATGATGTCGTTCTCGGGCAGCTCGTAGGCCAGGGAGATGGCCGGCCACTAGAAAATAAAATCTGAGGTCCTGCCAATCCCAGCTACCAAATCCGTGCCCATGTCGATGAGCAGGATGGACATGAGCGACATTGGCAGCGGGAGGCCAAAGACGACGTACGAGATGAACGGTGTCACTTCTAAAAGAGGGGGGTTCTCAATAAATAAAATGATTATCTACCGCCAATGTTGGACGTCAACACGTAGGCGATCGACTTCTTCAGGTTGTCAAAGATGATGCGCCCCTCCTCGACGCCGGTGACGATCGAGGCAAAGTTGTCGTTGAGGAGGATCATGTCGGCGGCCTGCTTGGAGACGTCAGTGCCGGCGATGCCCATAGCGATTCCTGAAATAGAAATTGAAGGTGATTCCCTAAAAATCGAAGATACCAATATCAGCCTTGCGCAAAGCCGGCGCATCGTTGACACCATCTCCAGTCACGGCGACGATTTGGCCATTCCGCTGGTAGGCCTCGACGATTTGCAGCTTCTGCGTTGGGGACGTGCGGGCAAAGACGACCTAGAAAAATGATGTCCAAAACATCAAAAAAACCAGATACCTGGTGGTAGTTGGCAACGATCGAGTCGAGCGTCGTCTCGGACAACTTCTTCAGTTGTTCGCCGTGCACGACGATGGCCTCGGTCTTCTTCAGGCGGCCAGTGCCGTAGAGCTAAACATGGAAGTTTTAGAATCCAGGATGAAGCGCACCTCTTCTCCAGCTGGCGCATCCGTATCGTCGATCAGCAGGGTGACGTCGATGCCGTTGTCGATGATGTGCACCTGCTTGGCGATGGCCTGGGCGGTGATCGGGTGATCGCCGGTGACCATGACGACCTAAAAAGGGAGGAAGTTTTACAAAGGTTTTTTTGCTATTTTTCCTTTTTCCTATAATTTTTTCTAGTAGTGTCTAGTAGTGTTACAAAATTATTTTAACCGTGTTTTTGGCAAAATTAAGCTAGCTCCGGAGGCGAAAATTTTCCAGAAACGCGAAAGTCTAAAAATCTGTCCAAAGTAAATCCGATTTTGTCGGCAAGCCTTGTTTTGATGCGTTTGATCAAAATTTGTGAACCTTTCACGTTCTAAAACGTAAAAAATCGTGTAGGTAGAAAATTGCCATTAATCCATTTTTTCTACACCTTGATTCCAGCGCTTTGGCAAAGATGGACGGCCATGCGGACACCCGGGCGCGGCGGGTCGATCATCGAGATGAGGCCGAGGAAGTTGAGGCCTAAAACACCCAGCATCAAAAATTATAGAAAACACAATCCGTACCAGCCGTGGGATAGTTCGGGTTCTCTAGGTCGAACGCGAAGCCGGGCGGGAATTGGTCTGGGGGCAGGATCAGCTCGGCGAACCCGAGCACACGCTCGCCCATGCCGCCCAGGTCGTCGTAGGCCTGAAAGCTGATTTTGAAAACTGGCGCTAAAATTCCAACCTTCTGGAACTGCTTGCGGATGTTGTCATCAATCGGCTTCGGGCCCTCCTCGGTGCTCATCGTGGTGGACATGGCGAGCACGCGCTCGGGGGCACCCTTGAGCACGAGGATGTGCGAGTTGTTGGGGCCGCCGGTGTGGATGGAGAGCTGGTACTTGTTGATCGAGTTGAACGGCTGCTCCATCACCTTCGGGTAGCCCTCACTAAAAGGCAAACTTGATACGCAGAAAAAGTGGATTACCGATACTCGCGCACCGCGTTCGGCGTGACGCCCTGGGAGCGTACGAGCTCGCAATACTTGAGGATGGCCGCCTCCGAGGCGTCACCGACCGTTTCGCGCCTTTGCACCGGCACATCCGTGTCGTCTTCCTAAAAAAAAAAGAAACTTTCTAAATACTTCCCTTTCTAAAAAATGTACCAGTACCAAATTCTTTCTAAATACTTTCCATACCTTGAAGTCCGAGCGTGAGCACAGCGTGGCGCAGCGCATCAAATCCCCGTAGGCGCCGGTGACCGGAAGTCCGCGGCCCGTCGGTTTTCCATCCTCACCGCACATCACCGCCTCGAAGATCTCGCCGCGAGCCCTAAAAACGATGTTATAACTTTTTTTGGCCCATCAATACCAGAAATGCGCAACGGTCATCCGATTTTGCGTCAGCGTTCCAGTTTTATCAGAGCAGATTGTCGACGTACTGCCCAGCGTCTCGACGGCTTCGAGCTTCTTGACGAGACAGTGCTTTTTGCGCATCTTCTTGGCGGTCAGCGTCAGCGAGGCCTAGAAAAGTGGGGTTCAAAAAACGGCCCTATCCTACCGTGACGGTGGCCGTGATACCCTCCGGGACGTTGGCGACAAAAATGCCCATCATGAACACGAGCGCGGACAGCAGATCCGAACCGCTGATCATCGACACGATGAAGCAGGTCGAGGCGACGATGAACGCCACGGTGCCGATGATCTAAATTCAAAATTAAGTGAGTCTAAAGTATTGAATTACGCGAATAAAGTGCCGAATCTCGAGCGAGATCGGGGTCGGGCCGGAGGTGACTTGAGAGGTGATGGCGGCGATGCGGCCCATCACGGTGTTGTCGCCCGTTCTGATGACGATGCCCCGGCCGGTACCCTCCAGCACGTTCGTGGAGAACATCATCATGTTCTTCGTCTCCAGCGGGTTGTCGTGGGTGCATTCTGGGGCGCGGAGGAGCGGCTCGGATTCTCCGGTCAGCGAAGAGTTGTCGACCTAAAGACATTTAAATAAAAGCATCAGGTTTCACCTATAATTATAATATATACAAAAAGCAACCTTCTTTAGGGGAAATAGAGCAATTAAATACCTTGAGGCCCTTCGACTCGATGACGCGCACGTCGGCGGGGACCTTGTCGCCGAAGGAGATGCACACCAAGTCGCCGAGCACGACCTCCTCGACGCGGATGTCGCGGTATTGGCCGTCGCGGATCACCCAAAATGAAACAATCGAAGCTTTAACTTTATGACAAACGTGAGCAGTGGCCGGGATCATATTCGCAAAGCTCTTCATGATGTTGGCCGAGGTGCGGTTCTGGTAGAAGGAGAAGAGGCCGGTCGCCACCACGATCACGATCATGATGATGGCCATCCAGAGCTGAAAAAATATTCAATCGGGCAGCCAATCAATTTCTACGTTGTCCATCGACCAGTCCTTGACGTGGATCACTTCGAGGCCGAACGCCAGCGCGGAGAAGAAGCCGGCGCCCCAGAGCAGGAAGTTGAAGCCGCCTAGAAAGAAATTCCAGGTGCTCTCAGCCTTAAAAGATGCATCAAATCTTAAGAAAAGGTTTAAACCGTCTTCTCAAACCGCCAGAAACAAAAGCTCACCGAAAAGATGCTCGAACAGCTCGAGGAGGACGCTCTTCTGCGCGGGTGGTGTTAGCGCGTTGGGCCCGAGACGAACTAGCCGCTCCGCCGCATCCGAATCGCTCAGCCCCTTCGTCAGATCGGTCTTGTGCCGGCTGCACAGCTCTTCCAGCGTAATCCGGTGATCATCCTATTGAGGGAAATCTCCAAGACGCCAAGCCGAAACCCACGATGTCCACCTCCTTCTTGAGATCATCGAGATCCTTCTTCTCCTGCTTGCAGCAATTGAAATAATCCGAGAAGCTTTTGCCCTTGGCTTTGGTCTGAAAGGGGAAATGTAAACGGAGGAGGTGGAGAACCGACCATGTCAATAAGAAGAGCCCTGGTAAATATTACGGCCAAATGCCAGTTTAATTTGTACTCAACAACATATGGAAACTTATGATAGCCATGTCCATGTAAACCACCACATTCAAAGTTCCAAGATTCTCCAAAAGCTGTAATGCTGCGATTTCATAGTCGATTGCTGCTTTCTCAACTCCTGTTCCAAAATAATTCTTTATCAATGCAAAAACAACAAGACCAAACAATAAGACAAAAATTGGTAACATCGTGCGCTGGCTTTTCAAAAGCGTCCGCGTCCACGTCCACGGAAGCCGCCGCCGCCGCGCTCCAGACGAATCTTCCATTGCTCCGCCATCTTCGGGAGGAAATCCGGAATGACCTAAAGAAATGAATCAAGCCGCCGGAAGCTTGGCATGTCACCTGTCCACTTTTCTCCAAAATGTCGATCAGCTGTGCTGCAGAATGCTTGTCTTGATACGACATGTACGTCATTGCTTCTCCGGATTTTCTAAATCAAAGGTTGAATCAGAATGCTCAATTCGTACCCCGCTCTTCCCGTCCTTCCAACACGATGCACGTACTCCTCGATCTCGCCGGGGAAGTCGTAATTGATCACATGCCTAAAAATGTCATATAGTTTTTTGAGAAACAAGCTTACGTGATGTCAGGGACGTCGATACCGCGGCTCGCAAGATCAGTCGCCACCAAGATCTGGACGCGGCCCTCGCGGAAAGACTAAATAAAAAAGTTTTCTTAAACAATGTAGCTAAAACCTTCAATGTCGCCTCACGGTCCATCTGCGACCGGCCACCATGCATTGCTTGCGCCGAGACGCCTGCTACACAAAGATCCGAGGCCACGTGGTCAGCGCTAGAAAGAATATAAAAAAAGGAATGAAAACGCACTAGACTTTTCTGGAGACAAAGACGAGTAGCTTGAAGTTTTGCTTGTATGTCTCGAGCAGGAAGTTGATTTGCTAAAACAAAAAGGTTTTCATCCCCAAGGTAATCCTTACTTGCAAGAGCGTCGCGTCTTTCTCCTTTTCATTGTCGACGTACATAAAGTACTGTGTGACCTTCTTGCAAGCCTAAAAAATACAAAGACTGATAAATAGAGACTTCAAACCGTTAAATCAAGCGATCCGACAATGCACATGGCTGCTTTCTTCAGATATTTCTTTGCCATCGACGAGACTCCCTCGGGCCATGTAGCACTAAAAAACTAGTCTGAAAACCGGCGAAAATAAATACCTGGTGAGGACGGTGATCCTGTCCGGGCGGATTTCACACATGATGCGGCTGATGTCGTGGTCGAAGCCGAGGTCGAGCATCCGGTCTGCTTCGTCGAGGACGACATAAGTGACGGTCTTCAGCGAGATGGAGCCCTTCGACGCGAGATCGGCAAGTCTTCCCGGGGGTAGCGATGGCGATCTCAACGCCTGCCGCGCAGGATTCCCTCTGTTCGCGCATCCCCGCGCCTCCGTATAGGCAGACGCTAAATTTGGAAATGAACAAAATTTCGAGCCTTGTGTTTACCTCTTGTATCCGTTATACGAGTACTTCTTCACCTCGTCCTCAATCTGCAACGCTAATTCGCGAGTCGGCGTGATGACAAGGATCGACGGGCAAGGCCGCAGCTCTCCGGGCGCGTATTGTCTAAAAAGCAAGTTGTGGTGGAACCAATTTTCATACTTCAGTTGCGCGTCGAGGTGAAGGAAGGCGGGCACCAGAAAAGCCAGCGTCTTGCCACTGCCCGTCTGCGAGACGCCAATGCAATCCAGGCCCTAAAATTTCCGTAAAATAAAGGTTGGAAAACGTACGCTCAAGATAATCGGCCACATCTGAGCTTGGATCGGCGATGGCTTGCTGAAACCGTTCTTCTTGAATTGGCCCAGCAGCGCTTCTGAAGAAACAAAAGTTGTATCGCAAAAAAGAAAATCACTTACCGTTTCCAATGACACCTTCTTCGAAAGACTGGACTGGCGGAGGGATTTCTACGGCGTCCTCTTCATTGGCCGGCTTGACGGAGATCTGGTCGAGAGAAAGGCGTAGTTGCTCGATTTCTTCTGCGCTGATCTGGGCCTTCTGCGGCGACGATAGCTCCTTCACGATTGGCTTGAGTCCTAAACAGAAAAATGAGTTTCGAACAGAAGGATACCGGCGAACTGATCCTCGCGCGGCTTCATATTCGCCTCGCCCTGCTCCTTGTAGTATCCAAAGCCCATGCTCGGGTTGTTGTCACCGCCATTTCTGGCTTTCATCGCGTCGGCGAAACCCATTTCTGGAAATGGGGAATAAAACGGTGTCTAAACCGTTTCCGATGAGAGAATGAAAAGAAAGACATTTTCGATGAGAGGAAGAGGCCACTACAGTATCTCACATTTTTTACTAAAGTCGGGAAAAGCAAAACTAATTTATTTCCGAAAAAAATATAAAAAACAAAACCGATTTATTCCCGAAAAAAAGAAAGAAAATCAGGCCAAAAAAAATGCAAAAAAAGAGCCGCAACTTTGGAAACCCTTACAAAACACCGTAATTTGACGCGCTGCGGATCCGTTGCGAGCGGAGCGTTTCGGAGCAACCTTTTCCAAGCGATTTTTCTTCATTTTCGGGAAATATTTTTTTTATTTGCCTTCTTCATGTTTTTGATTTACGTTTGGTATTTTAAAAAAAAAAAAAAAATTTTTTTTTAAAAAAAAAAAAAAAAAAAAAAAATAAATTTAAAATATTTTTTTTTTTTTTTTTACCACACACACACACAAACACCATTTTTTTTTTTTTAGAACGATGAGCTCAATCGGTACCGGTTACGATCTAGCCGCGTCGACCTTCTCACCGGATGGACGCCTTTTCCAGGTTCATCGCCTTCTTCTCGTTTCTAACTTTCCGGTTTTCAGGTCGAATATGCGCAAAAAGCCGTTGACAACTGCGACACCATGCTGGCGCTGCGTGGCAAGAACGGCGTCGTCTGTGCTGTAGAAAAAGTATTCTTTCGTGTTGACTTTCCTCTAATTCTGATTTAGGTCATCAGCTCGCAGCTCAACGTCGAGAACTACAACCCACGGATGATGGCCGCATCTGAGCACGTTGGGCTTGGGCTGGCCGGCGTCTATCCGGACTGCAGAAATCTGAGGTAAACGCTTTAGATGCCTATTTGAAGTGTTTGTCAGGGATTATGCCGTGGAAGAGTGCCAGAAGTACCTGCGTGACTATCGCACAACGATGCCAGCAAAGAAACTAGCCCAAAGCATTGCCGAGTAAGTTTTCAATGATTTTCTAGCATTTAATTTTGAGGTACGTTCACATCTTCACGCTCGGCATCAGCCGTCCGTATGGCTGCTCGCTGTTTATCAATTCCTGGGACAAGAAGGAGGGTGGCAAGATCTACTTTGTCGAGCCGAACGGTTTGCACTACGAATACAAGGCCTGGGCCGTCGGCAAGCATCGCCAGGTTTCTCGAAATCAGATTTTTGACGCTTTTTTAGCCAGCGAAAGCCGAGATTGAGAAGCTGAAGCTGGAGGAGCTGGACCTCGATGACCTCGTAAAAGAAGCTGTTCGCATCATCATGGCCATCCGCGATGAAGGAAAAAAGGTGCGGAAATATTTTTTTATGGCTTTGTATAATCTCTCTCTTTTCAGAATTGCACAATCGAAGTCAGCTGGGTGGGCGCGAGGACCAATGGCGTCGTTGAGCTCGTGCCAAATGCTGTGGTAAACCGTTTTTCCGCATTCCTCTATCTATTTTTCTTCAGCTGGACGCTGCCGAAGAATGGGCCAAGGCGAAAATCGACGAGGATGATATGGACGAGTGAACACGCCCGGCGATTTCGATTACATTTCTTTCATCGTATTATGTGAATTAATTTGGAGACCTTTTTATCGTGATTTAGCTTTTTGTCTTGGTTTCGTGCTTCTCATTACACTCCATTTGAACAATAAATTCTGTAACTTGTATTTGGCAGCAGTTACTTTACCACGCAGAGTTTGAATCTCAACTTCTCGAGCGGAAAATAGAGTTGGAAATCAGCAAGTATTTGTCTACAACTACTAAACACATTTCAGTTGAAACCTCAAGGTTTTCGGCTAACAAATAGATGAGTAGAAGCGACGATTCGCGTCATTTTTAGATGGAAGAACCCATCGCCAGACTGCGCCTCGGCGAATTTGAGCTCGGGCAAACGATCGGCACTGGCACTTTCGGAAAAGTGAAAGGTAAGACAGCTGCTTGATGCAAATTTTCTTTAGTGGCCGTTAGCACCAAGACTGGCATGACAGTGGCTGTGAAGATCATCAGCCATTCGATCATCAAGCGCCTCGACATGGCCAAGAAGATTCGGCGTGAGATCGAGAACATGTCGCGCTTTTCACACCCGCACATCATCCAACTGTAACTTTTGCGTATACTCCACTCTAAAATTTTCTTAGGTACGGCGTCGTCTCCACACCGAGCGACATCTTCATGGTGATGGAGTACGCGTCTGGTGGCGAGCTTTTCGATTACATCACGAAGCACGGACAGGTGTTTTTTGTTTAGTTTTCTAAAAATTTTATATTTAGTTAGCTCCAGAGGAGGCCAGACGCTTCTTTCAACAAATCATCGCTGGCGTCAACTATTGCCACAAGCATCTAGTCGTGCACCGGGATCTCAAGCCTGAAAACTTGCTTCTGGATCAGTATAACAACGTGAAGATTGCTGATTTCGGTTTTGCGGAAATTATGATTTTTGAGCACTTGCATTTTAGGCCTTTCGAATATGATGCATGATGGCGATTTTTTGAGGACGAGTTGCGGCTCGCCAAATTATGCCGCGCCGGAAGTACTATGTGGAAAGTAAGGGTAGTTTTCTAAAAGTTATATTTCCCTTTTCTAGTTTCTACTGCGGCCCAGAAGTGGATATCTGGTCGTGCGGAGTGATCCTGTACGCGCTGTTGGCGGGCACTTTACCCTTTGATGACGATTCGATTCATGCGCTATTCAAGAAGATCAAAGGTATTTGTAACAGCATTTTTGTGTAATTTTTTTAGCCGGAATCTACTTCATCCCGACGCATTTCGACGATGAAGTGAGCAACCTGCTGCAGATGATGCTTCAAGTGGATCCGATGAAGCGCGCAACAATGCAGGACATTATGTAGGAAGCTTATTGCTTCTTTTCACCTGATTTTTGTTTCAGTGGCCACGAATGGTTCACCACAGACCTCGCGAGCTGTCTGTTCCCGAATTCTAACGAGACGTCCAACATTGTCGATGTCAGCGTCATCGAGGAACTTTCGAAGGTATTTGCATTAGCTTTTTTGAGAATTTTTAGACCTTGTAGTTGTACCACATGCCCGAGGCCGAGATCACTACAGCTCTCTTAGCAAACGAGGCCAATGATATTTCGCAAGCTTACGACGAACTGATCAAGGTCAAACGGGCAGTCTCTGGTATGAATTTTTGCATAATCATTATTTTTTTCTAGATCAGCAAAGCCCGAGCACCAGAAACAACTCGCTTCATCTTGACCTTGGCTTGGCCGGTAAGCTTCTTTTTCTTCTTCAAATCTCAATTGCTTCAGGTCTTTCCCTGTTCGGCGTCGGCTCCCCAGGGAGCAACAGCTCCTCGTACTCTACGCCCAGACCAAGATTGGACGCGAGCCCGCTAAGCGAGCCGCTCGCCTCACCTGCCCGAAGCACGCGCAAGGCGGCCAAATGGCATCTGGGCATCCGGAGTCACGCCAAGCCACGTAATTCCCTTCTACTTGATACCAAAATTTCTTTTAGATGAAATCATGGGCGAGCTCTTCCAAGCGCTGAAGCGCCTCGACTACGAGTGGATTATCGTCGACCCGTACCACGTGGTAGTGCGCAAGAAGATGCGCCCCGGCATGAGCAAGGCGCCGAATATCGGACTGCAACTTTACGAGGTAAAAATTCGAATAAATAAAATTAAAACCTTCCTTTTTAGTTCCGCTCAAGCTACTATCTGCTCGACTTCAAAAGCTTGGTTGAAGAATCGAACTGTAAGTTTTGCCTCAATTCTCGGTATTCTTCGTTTTTAGCCCCAACTTCAACGGAGCAGTCGTCCCCCTCCGACTCGATGGTCGACTTTGAGGGCTTGGATGTGAAGGAGTTGCAGGTCTGAGCTGCTCATCATTTTCTTAATTTTGCTTTTTAGGATGACATCTCGGCCTACATCACCCCCCGCGGATCCACGCTGCCCTTCTTCGAGATGTGCACTGAGCTGCTGTCACAATTGATCAAGTAGACACATTTCCGGCTTGTAATTTTTTGAGTTTGAGCTTTCCTTTTTACTGGTGCCTGACTGACCGCTTTGGAATAAATTGTACATAATTTTTCAGGCGAATTTCGAATGAAATGGGTGGGGGCTTGGGGTCTTTGTGCAAGATTGTGACTGTTTTGACGCGGCTGCTGGAAAGAGCAAAGAAGGGAAAAGCGAGAGTGAGACACAAAACTACAATGTGGATAAGAGTGCGGAGTCGGGCCGACCCCGTGCGGCGCCCGCTGATAGCCCGAACCAAAGAATCATTGCCTACGCATTTTCCGCTGTTTATTCTCATCAAGAACGTTGCATTTCGTCACGCACGTGCCTTTAAAATGCTTTGACCCCGGCCAGGGATCGTGTTTTTGCATCATCCAGGGTCTGCCCGTGCGATGCGCAAATACAGCTTTTTCAACGTTCTTTTCCTGGGTTTGCCCGCTCTCTCCCGGTGCGCACTGGTCAATTATTTTCGGTTTGAGGTGCGGCACGCATTTTCCCCCTTCATACATTTTACATTTTGCCTGCTCAGGGTAAAAACGTGGGGATTTTCATCCGGTTGTCTTCTTAACATTCGAAACTCAGCAATTTCTCAAGCCTGCAACACTTTTAGGATGCTTTTGCTGCTGAGCCTCACCGCCTTCATTTTATTCCTGTTCCACGAGCTGTATTGGAAACGCAGGCATCTACCGCCAGGTTGTCCGAGAAAAGAAATTTTTTATTGTCGTTTTTCTAGGGCCTCTTCCGCTCCCGTTTGTCGGGAATGTGCTATCAGTGGTGGCCAAACCGCCCGGCTATGAAACATTCCGGCGTTGGCGGCGCGAGTTTGGGCCCGTGTTTACGTATTGGTTAGGTAGGTGGATACACAGCTTGAAGACTTAGATGGTGTACGAAAAATCGCAAAATTTCAGGACCAATTCCGGCCGTCGTAATTGCCGATTATGACTTGATGAAGGAGACGATCATCAAGGACGGAGACAAATATGCCGACCGTTTCAACACGTTTTTCACGCAGGAGTGGAGAGGTTGTTGATACTGACGTATTGACTTCGTTACTTACTTACTTACTTATTATGCACTTACTTTCTTACCGCTTTGCTTACTTAAAGTTATTCAAAATTTCAGGAGGAAGGTACGGGATTGTCGATAATTCTGGGGATCCATGGCGCGAGATGCGGCGTTTTGCGCTGCACACGCTCCGCGATTTTGGCATGGGACGGAATTTGATGGAGGAGAAGGTAGAGAAGAGCTCCGAAATTCGAATCAGGGAAATAACTACCTTTATTTAGATCCTCTCCGAAGTAACAGCCCTTCACGAACGTCTGGCTAACCAGGGCGGCAAGCCGGTCGCCCCGCAATGGGAATTCGACCTGGCCGTCGGCTCGATCATCAACAACGTGCTGTTCGGGTATCGATTTGAAGAAGTAGGAGATTCCTGGATGAAAACCAAGCCTGCTTCTTCCTCTAGGACAAACAGCTCGAATTCGCCGAACTCCGCCGCCTGCTCAGCGAGCAAATGAAGCTGCTGGCCACGGCGTCTGGCGGTTTGGTCATCACCAGATATTGGTCGCGTTATATCCCCGGAATTAGAGGTTGGAAACGAACAAGCTTGACAGTAATTTCTAGACGTTTACAAGCGGATCATGAACAACCGCGACCAGCTGTTCGGCTTCTTCAATCAGCAGGTCCAGGCCAGGAAGAAGACGATGGACTATGATTCGGATGTGAGTTGGATCTTTTTGAAAAACCCTCTAATTGCCAAAAAATGCTTTTCATTCAATTTTTAAAAAAAGCAGCTTTAGATCAGTAACGACCTTGTCGAGTGCTATCTAAAGGAGCAGCACAAACACCAGGATGAGCCAGAGTTTGGATATTACAGGTGGGTCAAGGACTACCTTAAAAATAGGATTAATCTAGCGAGGCGCAGCTTGAGAATGTCCTGATGGATCTATGGGTGGCTGGTGAGCGCAAAAACCAAAATGAATAATTGTCATCAAAAGGTATGGAAACGACGTCCAACACACTAAACTGGGGCATCGCTTATCTTCTGAATGAGCCTGAAGTGCAGAAGAAAATTCACGCCGAGCTGGACCGGGCCATCAAGAGTGATCGCACAATTACGCTCGCCGACAAGCCGAACCTGAACTACATCAATGCGACGCTGAACGTAGGAATTTAGTAACAAAAACTAGCTTTCAATTTCTTAGGAGATTCAACGCGTCGCCAACCTCCTGCCCCTAAATTTGTTCCGAAAAACAACAGAAGACGTCGTAATCGCGGGCCATCCGGTTCCCAAGGACACCATGGTTATCCCGCAGATTAGCGTCGTGCTGTTGGATGAGAAGGTGACAAAGCAAGGCTTGAAAACTTAAAATAATACCCCTCAGATTTTCCCCGAACCCTACGCCTTCAAGCCGGAGCGCTTCTTGAATGCGGATGGGAGCTTGAAGAAGGTTGAGGAGCTGATCCCGTTCTCCATCGGCAAGCGACAGTGCCCGGGCGAGGGGCTGGCCAGGATGGAGCTGTTCATGTTCTTCGCCAACCTGCTGCAACGATTCGAGGTCTGAATGAAAAAAAAGATAAATGACAAACTCAAATTTCTAGGTCCATTCTGATGAGAAGCCTTGCCTCGAAAAGGAGATGGGGATCACGACTTCGAGTCGCCCTTATAAATGCTACTTTAGGGAAAGGAAATAGTGCAGAAATGATAAGCGGATTAATAAATACCATAAAAGTAAATAAAAACATGTGCCTGACAATAATATTTAAAGTAACTAGCGTCGGGACAAAAGCAAAACGCGCAGCACAATATTTGCAGAAAATTCACACAATTTCGCATCAGCCAATTAGCATCCAACGAAAATATTCTTCAAAACAGGCATATCCAACTTACGACCTTGCCAATGTGGGTGCTGCTCGCCGGCCTACTTCCCTTGGCCTTCTTGCCGCTGCTAGGCGCCGATGAGACGGTCAAAATCGACAAGTCGTGGGAGCCCGATGTGAAAGCGTTGAAGCAAGGGCTCAAGGACCTCGGCCACGGCCTAGAGACGACCAAGGTCTAGATTTTCACTAAATAAACAGCCTATATGGTTAAAAATAAGTCAACGTCACGTCTCGCAAACATTTCCAGGTAACGCTGGTCCTGATCATGGCTGTCTACGCGGTTTTCCTCTTGGCCCTCCTCGTCGCCGTCTTCTACCTGGTTATCCGTATTCGGTTAGGCCGTTCAGGATCGCGCAACGGCCCTTTTTAGCTCACTGCAGCGCCAGGTGAACAACAAGATGCCCGCATCGCAGGAGGCCTCTTCGCGCGTTTTCGATGTGGGCACGAGCAACCGGGACCCAACGATAGACTACGCCGCGAAAGAAGTGTCTGCTGTTGCCGATGACTTCGACAACCATGCGGTGAGAATTGAAAACTAAGAAAACGCGCCCACAACAGCGAATCGAAAAATGCAATCATGAAAAAATTCCGAACTTCCAGAAAACTGATCGCGCCCTTCCGCCATCGCTCCGTCCACTGCCTTGAGCCATCTTCGCTACGCAAGAATGTCTATTATCGCCTACAGCATCCCAACCACTTCAAAACATTTCTCACAATTGTACTACGCGCAAATCAATAAAGTGTTCGATGTATTTAGCGCATTGTCGCTGTACGAATCCTTGTGTGCATTCTTCAAACTAATAAACCGGAAAATTTTATTGACTAAAAACTCGGCACGGAGAAATTAAAAAAAGCGGGACACAAAAAGGGCGTTGGGGATCTTTGTGGGGGAGGGGCTGAGATCTGGCAACAAACAAGATCAGGAACGGCTGTAAATTATTTAATCGACCTCTTCCATGCGGGACGCATCCTCCTCATCTCCGTCGAGCTTGGGGGCTTCGGCTGAAGAAGTGGCGGGCGCGTCTTCCTCATCCTCGTCGTCGTCACCACCGATGTCGAGCCCGAGTTTGACCATGCGGTAGATGCGAGCGGCGTGGGCGGCCGGCTCTTCCAAGGAGAAGCCGGAGGAGAGGAGGGCCGTTTCGAAGAGCAGAACAACGAGGTCCTTGACGGCCTTGTCGTTCTTGTCAACTTCGACCCGGGAGAGAAGGGTCCTAAAAACAAAAATAATATTCGTCACTCCCAAGGTGGAAAATTAAAAAAATATCAATTCCAAAAACTCACTTGATGATTGGATGATCGGGGTTGAGCTCGAGGTGCTTCTTGGCGGCCATGTATCCCATCGTAGAGGAGTCCCGGAGGGCCTGGGCCTTCATGATGCGCTCCATGTTGGCGGACCATCCGTACTCCGAGGTGACGATGCAGCATGGCGAGTTGACGAGGCGGTTGGAGATGGTGACCTTCTCGACCTTCTTCTCGAGGATGTCCTTGATCACCTTGCAGAGGACCTCGTATTTGACCTGGAAAAGAAAATTTAATGAATTGACTTAAAGTGAACTAATGTAAAACCAGGAAAACAATTTACCTTGTCCTCCTCGAACTTCTTCTTCTCCTCTTCGGTCTCGGGCAGCTCGAGTCCTTCCTTGGTGACGGAGATGAGCTTCTTGCCCTCGTATTCCTTCAGCTGCTGGACGCAGTACTCGTCGATCGGGTCGATCATGTACAAGACTTCGAAGCCACGGTTGCGGACACGCTCAACGAAGGCGGAGTTGGAGACCTGGTCCTTGGACTCGCCGGTGATGTAGTAGATTTGGTTCTGGTTCTCCTAGAAAAGAAACAATAAGTGCAAAAGTAAAGTTACAAACCTTCATGCGGGAGACGTAGTCCTTCAGCGAGGTTGGCTCATCCACCATCGAGGAGGCGTAGCGCAGGTAGTCGGAGAGCTTCTTGCGGTTGGTGGAGTCCTCGTGGATGCCGAGCTTCAGGTTCTTGCCGAACTGCTCGTAGAACTTCTTGAAGTTGTCCTTGTCCTCAGCGATCTCGTCGAAGAGCTCCATGCACTTCTTGACGAGGTTCTTGCGGATGACCTTCAGGATCTTGGACTGCTGGAGCATCTCACGGGAGATGTTGAGCGGGAGGTCCTCAGAGTCGACGACACCCTTGACGAAGTTGAGGTACTCGGGCATCAGCTCCTCGCAGTTCTCCATGATGAACACACGGCGCACGTACAGCTTGATAGAGTTCTTGGACTTCTTGTTCTCGAAGAGATCGAAAGGAGCACGCTGCGGGACGAAGAGGAGGGCGCGGAACTCGAGTTGACCTGAAAAAATTCCGTGTAATGAACCCTAGGTGGAAAACCTTACCTTCAACGCTGAAGTGCTTGACGGCGAGGTGGTCTTCCCAGTCGTTGCTCAAGCTCTTGTAGAATTCGGCATACTCCTCGTTGGAGATGTCGTCTGGGTTGCGGGTCCAGATTGGCTTGGTCTTGTTGAGCTCCTCGTCCTCGAAGTACTTCTCCTTGATCTTCTTCTTCTTCTTGTCCTTGGTCTCGGCATCAGCATCCTCACCGACATCCTCGACCTCGCCCTCCTGCAACAAAAAGGTTAGTAAAGAAACGATGCGAAACAAAAATGCATGTAAGGGAACATACCTTCTTATCCTCATCCTTCTTCTCCTCTTCCGGGGTGTCGTCCTCGACCTCCTTCTCGCGCTCCTTCTCGACGACGAGCTTGATCGGGTAGCCGATGAACTGCGAGTGCTTCTTGATGATCTCCTTGACGCGGCGCTCCTCAAGGTACTCGACCTGGTCCTCCTAAAACATCAAAATGAAAAGGTACATCAAAAGTAGTTCTCTATAAAACAAAATAATACCTTCATGTGCAGGACGATCTTGGTACCGCGAGTGACCTCGGGGTCCTCGACGGTGCGGACGAGGAAGGATCCGCCGGCGGCAGACTCCCACTGGTGGCAGTCATCATCGTTGACGAGTTGACGAAATAGGTTCGCCAAAGCAAAAGATTAAAAACCTGGTAGCCAGACGAATTATTCGGGGAACTTGCGCGCACCTCGTCGAAAATCGCACCAGAAGCTGAGTGATCCCTGCAAAGTGATATGGCGTTAAAAAATGCTTACATTGGGTCAAAAGACGCTTCGGTGTCCATCGCATCGTCGGCGGCGGGCAGCACCTCTTCTTCTTCTTCTTCTTCTCCTCCTTGTTCAGAATCCTGTCGCGGCCGATGGGCGTGGTTTCGACGCCAGAACTAAAATAAAGGTAAACCGACGACCACAAGTTAAGTTACGATTCGTGATGATCGTGGAGTTCGGCGCGATCATGTGGCGGCGCAACGGACATGCTGATTTCGACGCCAGACCTAGAAGGAAAAATTAATTTGTACGCAAAAAGTTACGATTCGTGATGATCGTGGAGTTCGGTGTGCGGCGTTTTTTCCACCGTCTCCGCTATCTCGGTTTGGGGAGCTGGAGTTTCAGCGTTGTGTTGACCATCACTATCGTCGTCATCATCATCAGGGAGGGCACTACAAAGGATCGAAGTGTCCAAAAAAGACCCAAAATTACGTTTCTTCGATAGCAGATACCATGTCCATTCCGTTAGGCGTCTGGTCCAAATTTACTTGTGTGAGTCCGCTACGCATCGTCACGTAACCATCACTAAAGAAAATTTGGGGTAAAATGTGACTCGGTTACAATGATGAGCTGCGTTCTGTAGGCGTGCAATCCAAATATGCGGTGCGGTTGGCCGGAGAGTTGTGGACCGTCTAAATCAAGATACAGAAACAAATAAACTCGGAAACCTCGTTGAAGCTTCGCATAGTATTTTCCTTCACTGCAGAGGCCGATTTGCACGTGGTATCATAAGGCAAAGTGAAGTCGAGGAGCGGGTCGCCGGTATTCTGGAATCAGCATATATAAAAATACAGTTTTAGAGAACGTCCACCTCAAATCGATCCAGATATTGCTCACAGTATGGGCAATCGTCCCCGGCGCAAGGGAATCGCGGATGGGTGAGGGAGCTACAAAAAGTGTTGCTCGAAAAACTCCCAAACTACCTGGGCAGCGCCTTTTCTGAAGAGCACTCTTTCTGTCCCGTTGTACCGGATGTGGATCGAGCGGATCTGGCCGTATTGCTAAAAGGAAAGGCGTGGTTTTAGAAAATAAACCACCTCGGCGATCATCGTGCTCAGGCGGTTCACCTCGCGGCGCGTGAGCCCATCATCGAAGTACGCCTCGAGCATGGCCGGCATTTTGGCGGCAAAAGGAGCTGTGTAGAACTAAAATGGCGCTTAGAAACTCGCAGACTACTATTAAAATCAATTTAAACCATGGAATAAAAGATTGCACCTACGAAGTTAAGGTATCAGAAATACTTTAGCAGTATTGAAATGTTAATTAACGCATTACAAAAGCGTGCAAACCATGCGTCATTGCTAATTGCCCCGAAAAAGCTCTCCCACGATGTTTTCAGATACTTCGATGCAGATACCTCGTGGTTTCCAACCGAAAATTCCGTTTTGCCACGAAAATCGATGAAAATCTGTATTCAGCACGAAGGGCGTCCAATCAACATAGAAAATTCACAGGCAATGAAAGCACAGCAAGTTAGGGGAGAAGATAATCACAGGAAAACACAATGGTATACAGTAACGGGAAAATCAGATGGCGATTCATTCGATGTGCAGCTGCCAGCTGGTGCGAACGCGATTCGGGTTCATCTGGAAAGAAAGCAAGGTGATTTCAGAAGTTTTAGAAATTATTACCAAGGCATAGTGATCGCGGCTTTTCTTTACAACGTATTCACGGGACAGCTCCTCGTGGTCGGGCAGCAGATTTGTCGACTTGTTCGTATTGAAGAAGGTCCAGTGATGGAAGATGAGGTACAGCAATGAGGGGTCCGGCATCTAAAATGAACTTATGATTTTGATTTACAAAACAAACCTTGCTCAACGAGCCGCTGACGTCGAAGATCTTGTTGACGGCGAGCAGCAGCCAGCCGATGGCGAGGTAGATGTAGTAGAGCGGCAAGAACGGCAGATTGTAGGTAGACATTGGGCGTTTCGGGTTCTAAAAATCAGAATTAAAGCGAAGAAAGGAAAATAAACCTTTGCCACCGCCTCGACGACGTTGTCGTAAACATCACCGACCGGAGTATCGTCTCCAACAATAATAATCTAAAACTATAAAAAGCAGTTTTTCAGGTTTTACCTCCCGTTCCCGGAACGAGCCCTTCAACAATTCGACGGCGGCGAGTCGTACCTTGTTCGCCACGTTGCCCGCATAAGCCATCCTAAAATTGGATAGGAAAGAGTGTTGAAAATACCTGAAAAGCGCCGCCGCGATCGCCAATATTCGGGATCGAGCCGAAAATGTTGGCGGCCATCACCGCATCAGTCACCGGGGAGCCCCAGTCCTCCTCGCCGTATAGGAACGGGATCCTAAGGAAGAATTTCGTAATTAATAAAAGCTAAAAACCGTAAGACGACGGCCGATCTGTGCGAGGCGAACAGTTCTTGCTCGGCGAGGTGTTTCGACTTGCAGTAAGCCTAAAATCAAGTTGAACCGAGTCCAAAAAGTAATATACCTTGACGGCCAACGCGATTCCGTACTTGCTGGCCTCGCGCTCCGGCTCGTAGGTGTTCGGCCAGAAGTCGGAGCACTCAAAAATGGTTAGAAAAGTTAATAATCTGTAAATTCGATACCTGAACCAGAGTCGACGAAATGTGGATGATCGGCGCCGTGCTGTTGCGCAAGACCTCGGCGACGAATTGCTCATTGTGGAAATGCAGGGCCTCGCGGTCCGGCGCCATCGACAGGTCGCGCGCCTCGTGGCAGTTGATGATCTAAAGCAAAAGTTGCAGAATATAATTTTCAAAGTACCAGCTCGGCCTCGGAGATGCAGGCGATAAGACGTTTCACCGAATTGACGTTGCCAACACCTAAAAAGCAGATTAAAAGTGGAAAAAACGTGTTTTACCATCCGACTGGGTCCACATTTCGAGGCAGACGTCGGGGTGCAGCTCTTGGAAGATGTTGACGACATGCCGTCCGAGTAGCGATCGCGCGCCCAGGATGGCGATCGGGCCCTTCATTTTGTCTCTAAAAAGATTGTTTTAATTTATTGAAGGCTGGAAAATGAGAACGATTGAAAATGAGGAAAGCGGATACGTATTCGGGAAATTGCGAAACTTTT